TTAACAGTAGCCCTGCCATGGCCTGGATGCTCTCCTGTCTTGAAATTTCCTTCACCACACATGTTAGTCCATCACCTTTCAATTCAGTCCTCACTCAAATTCTCAGGACACTGGCATAATGAAGCTTGACTCTTTCTCATATGATCATATTCATGGCCCCAGCCCAGTTCCCATGGAATCTGCACTGGTTGATTTTTCTGTTGTTGTTGTTGTTGCTGCTGTTGTTGTTGTTGTTGTATCAAAATGAAACAAGCTATGTAGTCATCTGGAAGAAGAAACCTCAGTTGAGAAGATCCCTCCATCAGATTGTCTATAGGCAAATCTATGGGGGCATTTTCTTGATTATTGATTTATGGGATGCCCAAGCCAAATGGGGGTGGTGCCACCCTGGGCAGGTGGTCCTGGTTCATATAAGAACATCAGCTGAGCAAACCATAGACACAAAGCCAGTAAGCAATGTTCCCTCAAGTTTCTGCTTCAGGTTTTGCCTCCAGGTCCCTGCCTTGAATTTCTACCTGGACTTGCCTTCATGGTAAACTGTAAGCCATAAGATGAAATAAATGAACCCTTTCCCTCCCTAGTTGCTTTTGGTCATAGTCTTTATCAAAGTGTTAGAAACAAAATAGAGTCCTTGTTCCCCTGTGAAACCTCATGAGCTGGGTCTCCCACCAGAATGGCTCATTGAGCTCTACTTGTGTCAATCAAGGGATTTTCTAGCCCAAAGTTCCCAACTTCTCTATACTATTCCAACAAACAAGAGCTCAAGAACTGCATGGTCAGGGTTTCCCAGCAGTACCCCCACTTATTGGTACCAAATTTCTGTATTTGTTACATTTCCTGTTGTGATAAAATGCCCTGGCAAAAGTAACTTAAAGGAGAAAGGGTTTCTTTCAGTTCACAGTTCAAAAGTACTGTCGATTGTGGTGAGATGTCCCAGTGGCAAGATCTTGAAGCAGTTGATCACTGACCCATTGCATCACAGTCAGGAAGCAGGAAACAGTGCATGCTCATAGTCAGCTCCCTTTCTCCTTTTTCTTGCAGTCCAGAACTGAGCCCAGGGAATTTTTGCTGATGCCCACTTTTAGAGTGGCTTTTCTACCTCAGTTAACCTAATTAAGATAATCCCTCACAGGCAAGCCAGTGGCTTGTCTCCTAGGTAACTCCAGATCCTGTGAAGCCAATCATATCAACCATAATGCCTCTTCTAAGCTGGCATGCCAGACCTTCAGATGAAGGTCCTTCTGAAGAGGTGGAATGTGAGCTGAGACCTGACATATCATCCATAAGCTTTTGTGGATGAGTGTTGGAGCACCATCCTGCCTCTTGACATCCACAGCGCTGAGACCACTTCTACCATAAAAACAACAATTTGTCAGAGGGAAGACGTGAAGCAGGTGAAGCCTCTGCCTCAATTCTTCTGTCTTCCATGATTCCCAGAGGTGCCTCGCATAGGCATAAGTTAGGCCATGAGTGGAATTTGAGCTATGAGGGAGCTTAGGGAAGGCAATCTTCAGCTGTCTAGACTCTAGAAAGCGAAACACAAGCATGCTTTTTCTCCTCTCTCCCTTTGAGAAGACTGAAGGAACAGTCTGTAATGTGTGTAGAACACCTCTTCTAAGCTGTACCAGTCTCTTTGAAGCCTTAAAATCATGGCTCTAAGCAAAGCCAAGCCTCTGCCTTTAAAGAATATACCTTCCAGCAGAGAAGGCCTGAACTAAATTCCCACTCAATCAAAAGAGCAAATGTCATCTCTCTGAAGGATGTATACCATGAAGTAAGTATATGAGAGTGACCACCATATGGTCACACTTGAGGGATGTTCAAGAAGGTCCTTCTGAAGAGGTGGAATGTGAGCTGAGGCTCAAATAACGTTAAATTATGTTTGGTTTAAAGTATGAACTTATGGACAATATTTTGTGGAGCAAAGTACAATGATATGTATAAGAAAACTATATCATGAAACTCGTTCTTTTTTGTTTGCTAATTTAAAAATTAATTTTAAAAATAGATAATTTTTTTTAGAAACAATAAAGTTTATCTTAATCCGCAAAAAACGGGAACTTGCAGGCATAGAGCAAGACATGCAAAGAGCCTAAATGCCTAAGGACGACAAAATGTGCAGTGGAAAAGAAAGACAATAACTAAATATAGGTGTCATTCTAAATATAGGTGTCATCATTCAAATTTGGTAAGGTACCAGGTCAGGAGACACCTGTCAGAAGACAGTCTGCTACTCAGTCCCCAGGAAGGGAGCCCCACCATGCCACAGGACCACACCACACTAGGTAAATCATCATGGACTATCTAGAGACAGGGAGCAAGAGGTAAATGTGGGAAAGTGCTTTTGTCAGTTAGGGTTTCTGTTGCTGTGACAAACACTGTGACCATATTTCAGCTGACAGTTCCACAGCACAGTCCATCACTGAAGGAAGTCAGGGAACTCAAACATGGTAGAAACCTGGAGGAAGGAGCTGATGTACAGACCATGGAGGGATGTTGCTTACTGGCTTGTTCCTCATGACTTGCTCAGTCAGCTTCCTTGTGGAAAGGACCACCAACCTGGAGATGGCATCACCCACAATGGGCTGAGCTTTCTTCCATCAACCATCAATTAAGAAGATAGCCCAGAGCCCTGCCCAGAGGTCAGTGTAGTGGAGAGTTTTCTCAGTTGAGGTTCTCTCTACCCCCAATGAGTCTAGCCTGTGTCAAGTTGACGTAAAAACTAGCCATCACAGTGTTTTACAGTAGTTTTCATGGAAGGAAATGGACCAGGTGTGGTAAGCAGGTTATGCAGGTTGAATGTTGTATATTTGATACTTCAAATTATTTCACTGGACTGAGGTCCAAGGCTTTCTGGTACCTGACCCTGAGATGATTAAGTCAGTTAAACATAGAGCAAAAGACATTTCAAAGGAGCAACAGACAATTTATTTGGAGCCAAATATGAGTGACCATGGCCCAAAAACATGGATTCAGTTTGCTCCATGGATGTGGTTACATAAGCTTTTGTCAATAACAGAGCAAAACAGACTCATAAATCAAGGCATTTACCAAATACACTGTTAAGGACAGCCAGTGGACAACTTAAAACCAAACATGGGAAGACTCTGCCAGGTTTCAGATGTTGTCTGATGACACTCAGCGTTTGGACTAAGAATTCATTCCAAAGGTTTTACCTGACAGTCACAAAGATGTTAGGCCAGACACAGAGGTGGGCATGAATGGTTGTTAAGGGTACCAAACATAGGCCAAGATAATGTGGTTCTAGTTCTACAAGATTCTACAATAACAAAGTTTTAATCAATCACCTTTGAAGAATCTTCCACAGAAGTGGAACATTTTTCGAGGAACTTCAGTTTACAGAAAAGTGTTGGAATAAATTCTTTTAAGAATCACTTTATTTTTATTTTGTGTATATATGTTGGTATATCTGTATTTGTATGTGTATGTGAGTGTCTATGGAGGCCAGAAGAGAGTGTCATATCCCCTAGAACTGGAGTTATAGGTGGTTGTGAGATGCCTAATGTGGGTATGAGGACCTGAATGCAGGTCCTCTGCAAGAACCACAATGCTCTTAACCACTGAGGCATCTGTCCAGGCCCTGAGCATTAAAATTTTGAGGCACAATAGGTGTTGAGGAAAGAAATGAATTTAAATAGACTACTAAACTTCTATCTGAATAACTGAATGGCAACTGCTCACTTACTGGATGGAAAAAGCTTGGGAGGAGAACAAGAGTCATCCGGCATGGTAAGTAGATAGTGCTCTACAGAATCTAAAGGGAAATGGTCAGAAATAAGAAGTTGTGTATTTGGAAGTCACAGACACTAAAGAAAGTTTTCAGAATGGACAAGAGATCGCACATATCAATAATGTCGAGATATTGAATAAAATGAAGACTGAAAATGGATCATTGTGTTTCACAACACGGGGATATTAATAACTGTGGAATGAAAGAGACAAACAGAGAAAACTGGAGGTAAGAGAGAAACACCACCTGATGCAGTACTCCATTCCTGTAATTGCAGCACATAAGGCTACATGGCCACATAGCAAGACCATCTGGGAAAAAAGTGGGCACAGCAAGTGTCCAACTACACTGTAATGTCCAACTACAAGGCATCAACACATCTAAGCTACTTCAGATAACACCTCTCCTACCCACGGGGTCAGGGGCTGGGGTTGCCTGTGCTTCTGGTATCAGGAAGTAACTGGTAAGGTCCCTGTGCTCTTGAGATTCAGTGTGGGGTGGAGTGGAGGAATGGAGGAAAGAAGAAACAAACCAGCAGAAGCATATAATGTGAGTAATTATAAAGATGTGAAGTGTGTGTGGAGGGTTGATGGTTGACAAGTGTGGGGTGTTTCTGGAATGCTTTCTGGGAGTAGCAGCTTGTGGCAGGGCCTCCAGTCT